CAATGAGATTGTATCTTTAGAAATGATTTGACACTGGATTTACCCCATGATTACGATAAAAAATCAAATTCGTGTATCCTGCGAATATGTCGCTGATTAACAACCCAAGCCGTATATAAGACTGAAAAACGATTAAATCTGAAAAAATTCACACGGATCTCCATATTATCGGAAATATTACTTGGTCTTATCGTACAGACAACACTATATAATTGAGGGATGTGATGGCATATCAAAGTTAAAGGTTCAATAAAGACCATAGAAGAAATGTGGGAATCATTTTACATTTCCCGAGCTATTAGTGCAACGTTTTGCCTAATGTCTTCTTCGCCATGCCTTTTTTCTTAAAATGTATGCACTTGTCAACAAATACCACCAATCAGACTCGCAAATAGACTTCTAAATAAGAAATTGAAAGGATGGACGTCTCGCATTTTGTTTTTTGAAACATTTCTGCGTCTCCGCCATTTAAGATTCTTACTGCAGCTGAGATTAGGTAAGACCGCATGTCAGCATGTTTACAGTAGAACCGCGGTTGTCTGATATAACCGTATACATGGTACACGATATGACCACCGTTGACGGTCTATCTATTACCGGCGACTCTTACAGTTAGCCTGGTCCACTGACGAAGAATAAAAAAAATCGAACACTAAAACACCTCAAATCTACCCATATCCAAGGTCTTCTTGACACGCGCATGGTATATAGGAAGCAAAATGTTGGATAGAACGTTATGTGAAAACGGGACATGAATCCAATGACAATATCACCGGGAAATAATTAAAAGGTACGTGAGCATTTTTTCTGTCGATGTCGGGAGAAGATTCCCGGGGATTTAGGATGCCAATGATTGTGAACATCGGCAGAAATTAGGTACGTTCGGGGGTTTTCTTTGTAGCTAATGAAAATAGATGTTAGCCTTGATGAAATATCCAAACTTCGATATATTTTGACACCAGGTCCATGATCGTTGGATACGTCTCTGCACTATCTATTCGACCTTTAAGTGAAGCTATGTGTACCGTATATTGAGTATGACCGGTTCTAAGCTTACGAGTGTGACCGTATTTCTGTTCCTATAAACAGACGAGGTGAGTACTTGCTTTTTATGAACACTTTCGAACGTTTTCTTTTTATCCTACTTGGTCAATGAATGATACTTTGTATACTTATAATGCCAGGCATATCACAAGGGGCCTTAATCAAGTGAAAACGTATTAATATTAGATTGAAGACGTAAAATCCTAGTTTCAAGCATCTTTGATCAGTTTTTGTGTAAAACAACGCAACTCCGAAGAGGATGACATATCTTATGTATAATATATATCTAGATCTACGAATTAGTCATGAATATTTTAAATAATTTAGCCTGCTCTGTCCAAATATGATACATCTTTGAATTTTTGAGAATACGAATGTCACTGGTGCCCCATTAGTGGAGAATACGGTTGTGAAATGTCTTCCATGACATTTCACAAGCGTAACCTCTGGGAAAAGATAAATCCTTCTCTTGCTCACTCTACGGGGGATCATATAAACTGAGATTTGGAGATCTTGTTCAGGTTAGCCATAAAAAGGTTTGGGATTTGTTTTTCTACTGTACATGTGATATTAATGATTTGGCTCTAAGGCGAGAAATCTGTACTTTCTGATTGATATTCCATTATGAACAGTTACATTGCTAAAATAGCTCATGTTTAACATTTTTTGTTACATTACTATTAAATACAGCATAAACTATATTCAACAAACACAATTTCAAAAAGGATAATATAGAACCTTTATTTTCCATTTTTAAGCAGCTGTGCCTCTCATGACTTTCCAAAACAGGTCATATTCGTAGCCTAGGAACCGGTCATACTCCATATACGTGGAAACTCTAGTAGCCCGTGTTGTCAATCAATGAGGTTTCGCGATACCTCGAGTGACAGCGTAGGTATTATGGAAATCTCGAAACCGCTGAATAACTTAACAATATCAGCGGAGATGTATTGGTTTGTACAAGGCGGTAATAATTCAAGATCAGAGAAGTAATGACTGCATGGCTTGATCAATTTAAGGGTGAATACGTTATTTTTGAGACCAGGGTTTCACTCGTATTTACAAATTCGTATTTGGTGGCAACTTGATCCCGAAGACGTCTTATTAGTTTTAAACTCATGAAATAGGTATGGGAGTCCCGGGAAATACTATTTCTTGTGGACTTTTAAACCATACTTTTTAACGGACTATCAGACCTACTTGTAGGATCTATAGTCGTCGAGCGTGACGTAAACTCTAAAGACTAAGGATGAACAAAAACAATTATTTCAAATAACACTTTTATTTCATTTGACCACTGTTACGATTTTTACAAATACTCAGTCATAAAGTCTTCAAATCTACAGTTGTTTTTCAATCTGAAATAATGTTGATGCAGAAAAATGATTTCTGAAAATTGCAAAACATGTTAATTATCTGTCCTATAAAGCACGCACATGACTACCAAGAAAGCAATGAAGGTATTATACTAGAATAAGACGGTCGGAACATATTGTCCACATGATTGTTTTCAGACATTTAAACCTTGGGACTACATTGAGTGACATTTTTTGTCCCATGGATGATTCTTTCACATACATTTTTAATGTATCATAAAGTGTTTTGTGGGACGACCGTATCGTTTGCCTTATATGAATAATGAATATTAAGTAGGTGGATCCTGAATCACGTGGTTGTCTGCGGTCCCAGACCTAGGTAGCGCAGATTGGGGTCAGTTGCATTCCATGCCAGCACATAGCGAGCAACAGGTAGGTATTTCACGTTATATTCAACTCACTGACAGTATTACTGTTTTATTTCATTATCATTATTTGATATTATTATTTGAAATGCAACGTACACATTATTAATAATAGTATTATTTAAACTGTACTGTACACATTTTTACTATATAAGGACATTGAATTGTACTTAATTGTTAATTGTTGCCACCCATTCCCCTCCACCTCCCTTCAGATATGACTACCCAACTTTCTAATGATATTATTATTTTATATTAAATTAATTAATTTCACCAACACGAATGTATTATGTTCCGTTATAATTAGCAACTGAGCAGATCAAGGGAAGAGACACAAATGTGTTTTGGCGTTGTATACTTCCTACAAAAGTTTGGCAATTCTAATGATGAATAAAAACAAAAGAATTGGATTACATGTTCAAGCATCGCGTTTGGATCCTTGTTAGCATGCTCTGTAAAGAAAATTCTACTTTGACTGGAAATAAAAATTAACTTCATTTCATATACCTCCAATTTCTCTAAAGTCAACAACACAATAGGTCGGAAATTGTTGACAAATCTGACGATCGTTTGAAAATCGACATTACATATGAAAAATGAAAGGTTTGCCGCAAGTCAAATGACAGAAAATCCATCCATCCAAGTTCTCGCATTTAAACAAGTTTAAATAGAAAATAGAATTTGCTTATTTCAAAAAAGCTGTTACTTCGGTTTCAACAAAGTTATATGTCTCCACCAAAGTATATTTTTTCAAAGAAACCTCTTCCAAAAAAAACATTGTGATAATTTTGAGTTTTATGACAACTTACATGTACATCTTCATACTTAGCATAAATATTTTCAGGTGATGTAGAATAAAGATTCAAACATAAGAAGGCGTTAAAGTAACATATTTACGATGTATCTAAAATCTAAAACCTCAAAAAGTAATAGATATGACTATATGTTGTATAAAAAGAGATTTAAAAAAATTGTGTCTGAGAGATATATAAAAAAGAAAAAAAAACCTAAGACTCGACCGCGAATCGAACCACCGACATCTGGATTCAATCATCAAAACCTTAGTCCTGCGCCTTTCTCCATTAGGCCAGACTGGCATGATGAAATAACACCGTAATTCTAAAGCTATGTTATAAATTTTAGAAGACAGTCGAATCACTGCATAAGATTAATTAAAAAATAGTCAATAATCATTTTAATAATATTTAAATATCTATTTCGGTAAATTTTTAAGTCAAAACCAGGATTGATGATGTAAATTCAGTTTTCATTTAGATTATCTATTTCCTGTTATGAGTCGTAAAAAAAACATGGCTCCGAAAAAATATTTCTTGCATCCAAATTTCAAAATGATATATATCCATGGATCAGTTATTTTTGGCACCTGAACCCATCCTAATAGAAAGGTAAGACTATTTTCTTGACTCATATTGCTTAAATTGTCGAAATTCGGCCTAGAATCGTAAATGTGTTACTTTAACGTGTACTTCCAATGTGAAAGCCAAGGTTGCCAAACTTTTGGAGGAAAGTGTAACCTGGGAAAGTATCACCATGGACTCCAAGGAATGGATATTCATAATGACGAAGTGTCCATACTATGTGTAATTTCGGACGTTGTAACCTTGGTAAAAAGTCCGGGACTGCACAAAATGATATTTACAAGGATAGTTTTTCCATTGTAAATATTTGGACGTTCCTGGTGTAAAAAGTTACCGATAATTCAAAATGGATACTAAAATTGGCAAAGATTATTTGTCCATGCCTGTGTCTTTGGGCGTTGCAACGTAGGGGAATTATCCTTGACCTCAAAACTGGATGTTCATAAGGATGAAAGTAAGATCGTCCACGCACATCTGCGTTTTTAAATCCAGTCGAAAATGATCTTCTTTTTGCAAAAGTTATTGGCATGTTTCATCTTATTCTATTGTTAAGAAATTGTAAACTTAAACGAAAATCGAACCACTATCAAAACTCCTGACCAAGTGTCTTGCAACTTATATAATTTGCCAAGACACATACATTGGACATTTATTCCAATATGACTTTACCTCTATTAGCGTATGTAAGAATGAAGGACCTAGGAATATAAGTCCGGGGCAATTTATTCAGGCCCTTTATATATTCTGGACATTTTTTTCTTTCGCCGTTGTGGAAGAAATAGAATTCCATTGGTTAATATAGTCCATGGTCACAAATGTATGTTTGCTCCGAAGAACACACAAACAGGTTGCCATGATAACTGAATATATTTTTTTGTTAAGTAATAAATGCAATATAGCAAAATGACGCTGTCATCTGGATCTTTATTTTGAGTGAATTTCATATTGTTTTCTTATCAAATGATTTTTTAGAGCATAATTATCATCACTTATGGGACACCCTGTACGTGGAGTGCACGTATGGACTACTAAAGGTAGAGTATTAATGATTTTTGATCGTCGTGAATGTTGTTTCCTCTTCTGGTATCCTACTATTTCACTTCCTTTTCAATTATTTCCTCAGGGACAACTTGAAGAAATAGTTGTAGAAAAATTGTGATGTTATCTGAAATCGTAATAATTAATTATCAAAAAGCTGTGTAACTATACATTAATTATGCTCTTAAATTATTCTTCTAAATAATGGTCGATCGTGTAATTGAAATGTTTTTTAAAAAATCGTTCAGACTGTACAATGCTCTAGTGTGGAATCACGCGAGTTAATGCTATTGTGATGTCATTTAATAGCCTGCTCAATCGACGAACTCACCCAGGGCTTGGCTGAACCTCCCAAGGTCTCTGTTACGTATAAACCGCCAAAAGAAGTAAAATGGTATCCCTGAGAAAAACACGCCAATGCCACCAAGCGCTGGAATGGGATCTCCATATACCGCTAAACCAGTCAGACCCAGTAAAATCAAAGTCGTGAAAGCAGCTAGAACAATGTTCATCTGGAATGAATTCTTTCTTGAATTAAAATCAAAAGACCTGAAAAGAACAAAACCAAAAACAGCACGATTTATAGAAATGTGATTTAAGAGCCAACAAAAAGTTTAAAAAGCAACTCCAATGTCCTGGTTAAGAACGCATGTATATTCTTATTATTGAAAGTTGATTCTTGCAATACTATCAAACATGAATGTATTACTTGTTGAGATTCGATCAACTTGAGTTCTTCTGAGAATTGGTGTATTAACTTAACATGGGGGTACAAATCCGGTACAATTGACTTTAAAGCTGCATATCATCATGCATATAATCCTTGGGATAGATACAAAATCATCATTATCTCAGACCTCAAATTTATCAAATCTCAACAAGTAGATTCATGTGTGAGGGCAACGACAGGATCCATTTCCAAAAAAATGAATAGGGGTCCTTAAATAGGACATTAAGCTTGACTAAGACCGTTTAAAAAATTTTGGTTGGCTCTTATCTTTGAAATTTGTCCCGCTTTGCCATACGTGGTATGTTATCTTGTGTTATATGTGGGTTGTATGGTTTATATTTTTGTGTACATGTTATATAACGAATTAAATTCGTTTTATATTTAAATTGTTATTACAAATTACATACTAGCCTAAACTATTGGACATTGTTACTGCAAGGGGTGGTCAGTGCAGATTGACAACTTACCCTAATTGGACGATACAAATGTGGCTTCTTGTAGCGTAACCAGAAAAAGGCAACAAATGCGAGTAGATAGTTCAATCGTGATACAAGACTTGTGTATGTAATCAATTGTCCAATATCTGTCAGCCAAACGAAGAATAATACCATTATACACTAAAAAGAAAAGGAGTATTGGACCTCACTTATTAAGGAGATCTTCTTAACAATAGTTACAAAGTTGCGTAAATACATTTTGCAAAGGTGTCCTTCGTTTATGATTTACGCTTTTAGCGTTCGTATTTTTACATACACATCATTTCTTCTTAATATATATTTATATTCCCTACGCACAATAAATTAAAGCAACTATTACATTTGTTGTCAGAATGGGCTCATTTGGATTCGAGATTTTTGAAAATCAGGATTTTGAAAAATAAATCGGGATGAGCAATAAAAATTCGGGATTTCTCCCGATTTAAATGGGGCTTTGACAGGTGAGCATACATTGATCATTTCAAGTGTGTTTTGAAAGTTTTTGAGAAGTAAGAACACTAAAACTCGCAATTCAAATTCTGAAAGGAAAGAAATGGCGGCTGGATTGATTTCAACTTTTTTACTCACGACAGGACTCATATAAGGCAGAATAAATAAAACACATGGGATTTATGATTAACGTACGGCTGCAATCTAGTAGAAGCCTGGGAGGAGGTTAGTTGATATAGTATAGAAATTATTTGCAAATAAAAATGATATGTTTGAGATCAATGAAAGAAAAATCACCAAAACATTGAAAACGCTCGAAATGATCAAGCACAATGTCGATTACAAAAGCTTAATTTTCGCAAAAACTCTCTATTTTATGATCTAGTCAGAATCGAATAAAATCGATATGAATCAAATGCATCTGTGATGTCGTCGGTACTATTTTAACAAGGTGGAATAAGTAGCAAACTTACTTGCACAATTACAGCTGGCATAGGCGTGATGTAGTGCATGTTTATCATGTTGAAAATTGCAGGGAATTCTTTCTCTCTGGCGACTCTGAATGTAACCCTACAATAACATAATATTGAATATTTAAACCAACTTTAAAACTAATTGAACAATGACAAAATGTACATCAAACGTTTCCGATAATCAGCAGTAGCATTTAACGTATCTTCATATCTGAATTGCTGCCTTTGTTTACTCCGCTTCAATTATTCTTTCAGTACATATGGGAACCTCAACAATCTAATTCTTTGTACCATTGAATTCAGGGGTTGCTAAAACGGATTAAAGTGTTACCTCGACTTGGTCAGGATGCTTGCAGTGTTTGAGCCAAATGTCGAACAGGCCACGGCCAGAGATATGACGGGAACTAACATAGGTACAGTTCCCTTGGCGAATGACTGAAAATAAATAATTACGTATATTTGGTGTATATATCTTTGATATATTATTTTATTAGACCACATTGTCTTTTATTGTAGTAATTTATGGATATCATTGTAATATATTGAATATCATGCTAATATTGCGTTGTACAGGTTGATCAATAAATAATTAAAAAATAGCTGGCATTTTGTAAATATTGGTCCAAGCATCCTGAAATTTGGTCAGAATATACCTTGTACATTTCTAAACTAAGACATATAAATATATAACTTCTGCCATCTGATTGGTTAATATTATAGATACTATGGCAACAGGAGTCTGGGGTACCCGGGGCAATTTCATTGCGTCCAATTTGAACAAAAAATGATTAAAAGCACATCTTTTTCAAACTGAAAAGAAATAAACGTTGGTGCCAGCATTTATTGTTTTAATACTTTGTTTCCATTGTTACATATTTTCTTGCAAATTTGATGTTTGATGTCACGGAAAAAATTAATATATAATGAAAACTGATGTGATCATAGAAAGTCTATGACATAGGTCAATGATGAAAAAACAATACCAAGAGAAGAGATTTGATGAGAGCAAAGAGGAATAAGCTAAGAGGCCTGCAAAACGTTTCACATTGCACTGAGATAATGCTCCGTCTAATAATGCTATTCCCATGGTACAAACCATTGAAGCACTGGGTTTCCCACTGTTAGACCATGTAATATACTCTCCTGACTTGTCCCCTTATGGTTTTACCTTCATGGTTAGCTGAAGAGGGAGTTGAGGGAGTTTCCTATGGGAAGACTTGAAGTCAGCTGTCTTGAAAATGTTCAGGCTATGGAAAAATGGGTTTAAAAAGGTGTTCAAAGACTGAAGTAGAAGACATGAACTATATGTTAAAAACAAAGGACATTAAGTAGCAGTTATGAAGTATGAAATAAGAATATGATATGCCATTTTAATTGTGATTTGAAATATATTATCAAAAGTGTTTCGACTGAAAATTTAGTTTTTTATAGTTGCCCTAGGTCTTCATGCTTTCTGTTGCTATGGCAACTATAACTTCAACCAATCACATCACTTTGATCTGTAACTTGAAATATCAATTCACTAATGTTTGAACATTATTCTGTGCAAATTTTATGAGGATTGGGTAAAATCTGAAGAAATGCCAGATACGTTTACCTTATTTATTGATCACCCTGTATACTAATTTATATTTTACATTTCAGGAAAATTTCATAGTTGATGTGAAATTGATGTGTAGAGGTTTTGGTATAGTTAACAATTGCCGCTGCAATTCAAATGTAATTATTGTTATTTGGACCAACCAGTGCCACGGCTGGGGAGGATAAAAGCTCAGTTGGTGTCATGACAGTGAAATAAGCCAAGTTTGTCAGTACATATACGATTGTGACAACGGTCATCGAGATCATCACTGCCCTTGGTAGGTTTCTGAAAGTGAAAGAAATAGATATGAAAGTTTGATTACATGGGTAATGTGTAACTCATTTATCGCTGTGATTAACGTTAGAACATTCACACAAGAGTTATAGTTCCTTGAGCTAGCTCTCCTTCGTAGTATTTACTTGTCCAATGAATATAAAGAAGAAGTATAGTAAAGGTATGAGCGAATTTTTTTACTAGGTCCCTTAAAAAAGCAATTGAGAGAGGGGAAGTTATTCTCGTGGGTTCCACTATTATACGTCTGCATTTATTTTACGTGTAGGTAAACCACCTAATAGTATTGTCAAACAACACCTACCTCAATGGATTCTTTATTTCCTCAACAAGAATACCAAGGTTTTCACTAAAAATGAATAATGTTCGCATTTCATTTCATTCGTTCCATTAAGTTATAATTGTGGAAAATTATTTTGACAATATGTAAACTGGACTGCATTTGTTCTTATACTCTGAATATTTTACCAATCAAAGTACAGATACATCATATATAATAGACTATATTAGTATACCATGATTTGAAAGTAAAATAAATATATACGACTTAAGTTGAACACTCATCAAATCGTCGCTCCTATGATAAAATGTGGAGATCTGATAGGTGTCTCACAATACAAATCAAACGAAATATTAGAGACCTCTATCGACGGTTCAATCCCATCGTCGTCGTGTGTAACACATTCAAGATTGCCACTGGATATTTTATATTGTTACTCACTGTCTGCCATACAATACACATTGCAAAGAGTCGCAAGTATACAGTGCGTCCACAAAAAAGTATACCCAACTTCAAAACCAAAATAGAATCCTGAGAAATATTTTTGAAATCCAAAGGTAACAGCAAACAACCTTATTTGTCCTCCATCAAATGGTACCTAGATCATTATGTAACTATCATGTATGACTGGGCAATTATGACCATTCTGATACTAAAAGAGTAGGTGCCAAGTTATCTTCCTGAAAAGTATCATTTTTCTGTTACATTATGTTAGATGACAGGACTTTGATAATGAACTGGACTGGGGGCTGAGTAGCTCTCTTATGAAACAAAGATTTAGCAAAAAGTTTACCTACTCTAAAATAGGCCTGCAAACGTGGTTCAACTGACACCTGAGCAGTAGAGCCAACACAAAGCAAGTCCAGTGTACTGTTTAAGAACACCTATCCTTACTATTGAAAATGGATTCTAGCAATACTGTCCAACATGAATCTACTTATTGAGACTCAATCAACTTGAGTTCTTGTGAGAAAATGAGGATTTAAGCAAGGGTGTATTGACTTAAATGGGGGTTTTAATTGACTTCGAGGCTGCATATCATCAAGTAGAAGTTTCATTGGTGTTCAAAAGGCTCTTGTGATCCAATTCCCGAGAGGTACGTAGCAATAAAATGTTATGGGAAATTATGCAAAAATGTTGAAGAACATGGAACAAGTTTGAATTTGAACATTAATAATAGTTTGAACACAAAAAAACATTCATTGCGTCAATCCTACTTGAATGCTAACTTGGCGCAGTGCTGATTTTACCACCTTTCATAAAAGTCTTTATTGCTCAGTCATCAATGGCAGTTACACAATGATTTAGCCACCATTTGATAGAGAATAAACTAGGCCCTATACTGCAGCCTTTACATTGTAAAAAAATACTCAGAATTTTGGTATCCCGGCTTTGAAGTTGGGTATACTTTTTTGTGGACGCCCTGTATAATAAGCGGTGTATATTCTTAATTGCTACTCACTGGCCACCATACGCAAAGAATCCCGAATAGATAGCCAGTGCGTATTCTGCAGGATTTGTACTGCTTCCAGAGAAGAAAACATTCGATTCCAAATTTTTAGAATTTCCTGAAATAAGAAATTGAATCAAGCCATTAAATGGTTCTCTTTTAGTGCTTTTAAAGGAATATTCTTTGGTAATATACCAGGTTTCCATGCAAAACACAGGATCAGAAAACGTTTTGATATGGTCAATATGGACCATTTAAATATGGCGTGCTTATTACCAGTTAGATGTCATCTTTTGAGATTCCACACAGAAAGTGATGTCATCGACTGTAAAATTGCAGTATTATCCTACATAGGAAAGTAGCACAAAATACTTCTAGACAAATGGTCATGTATTTCGTGGGAAATTGTTTTCAGGGCTTGTCAACTTAGAATTAAAAAAGAGATCAGCTAAAATTAAATCATGAACAAAACTGAAAAAATATTCAGTTGTTTTTCTTTTTAATACCTCCTTGCTTAATATTCTATATACAAATGTCATAGTTCATAGCATCGCTTCCTTGGTGAAATATTAAAAATATGACTGCCTACTGGAAATGAGCAATTCATTTTAAATGATCATAGTTACTGCATTAAACACATTTGTTCATGTTTTCCTAAATATGCAAAGTATATGACCATACCCCAGATTCTGATTTGTTATAAAAATGTTGCAGATATAAATTGGGGTTAAACTGAAGTTTTACATAGTTTCATATATTATTTACATATGGCATATAAAATAATAATTACGGCAAGCCAATTATGGTTTAAACAATCAAACACATCTGAGTTCTTAGAAATGATAATAAAACGTTATATACAAATATAATGTTTTATAAAATATAATATATTATATCAAACAATATAACACATCATTGACAAAACCCATGCGCATTGCTTTCAGTTAATTAAATGAAACATACAAACCTAAACCAATCTCCCTCAGTCCAAGAGCAATAATAAGTACCAAAGCGCCTGTCTTGATAAACGTGAATGCAGTATTGACGCCTGCTGCCAAAGACACACTGTAAGCGTTAAACAGATGCACCGATACTGAAACAAAAGCATCAATCAATGTCAAATTATATGTTTACATATTTTGTTGGGTTTGGGATATTGGAAACTTGCTTTCAATATGACTGATTGCGCTCTTGGACACTAGTATTTCATTTGTTTGGTGTTTTATACTCTCGGTTTAACACGTTTTGGCATCCTTGCTTTCATACATTACTTATGTTTATTTTGCAGTGGTTTATAGAGATATTTTATTGTGACTAAGAACCAATTTTTAACAGTTCTAAAATTCCTGTTTATTTTATTTTCTGAAACGATTAATATTAAATACTCACTTAAGAACCAAAGTGCCAATAGAGTTACAATGATATTCGGCGTGGCACACTCAAAGTTGATCATCTCCATAACATATATGGCGCTCACTCTTGCCAACACGCATGCGCCAAGAGGACCTCTTACGAAGTCGGCCCAAAATACCATGAAACTTGCCCATGGTCCGAAAGCAGAACGGCAATATGCGTATATACCTCCTGCCTCGGGAGTTATTAGTGCTATAGACAGGATGACAGAAATATACAAATATTCAATTTGTCTACATCCTGTGTTGATTGTGTGAAAGTGGTGTACTTGCTCGAATCGACTGGGTCAGTTCTATGTGCCACTGGAATCTTTAGAACTATAAGAACGCTCATGATAACCTTTAAGCGATGAGTTAAATCTTCAAAATATATAACAGCAACGCCAAAAGCGTAACAATTCCCATCGAATAGCCATGCCACATGGCAGCCATTTTTCAAAATGGCTGCCATGTGTTTCTATAATATATACCTTTAGAGCTATATTAATGTCCTATATTGTACATCTTTATTACATTCAAAACATAATGCAATTACAATTTTAAATGTTGTACCTAAATAACTTTAAAATTGGCACAAAAAGGATGCCATTTTGAAAATCGGCTTTTTGAGAACTTCTAAATCCATAGGGCATTTGTGTACAAATAAGAAAAAAATCGACCCAACGGTGTTTGAGTTTCGAGTACTTCGTTCGATGGGATAAAAACTCTTTCCCCCTATGCATTCCCTTGTTTTAAATTGTCAAAACTTTGAAATGTAGGTATCCTATTGTGCGATTTGCCAATATGTGTGTTGTCTAAAACGCTTTCTTATAACAGATGAACTTTATTTACCCCTTTTTATCGAAGAGTTATGTAAACTATGATTGAATTTTCTTGTGAACTGGGTGTAGGTGTTGTTAAATACAAATTTCTTAAAATGCCGGGATCTTTTTATTTGGTGTGATAGCATTCGTCTTTAATAAAAAAGTAATTTCTCTATCGGATGCTATGCAAGTACGTCTATTGTTTCAACAAACATTTAATCTGCACACATAATTACATGTAAATTTCATGGTAATGAAGAATACCCCTATAAGAAGATAAACAGTAAGAAACATGGAATGGAATAATTTTCAAATACGTGTGATATTCAAAGACGGATTATACCATGAACATGACAGATGCCTGGATACAATCACTGACTGAATCAGTGATTCAATCTGTTGATCTCTGTCAATTTGCTTACACTGTTAGGTCACATAAATGTTTTTAACAAATTCCATGGATCAGCCTCAGTTTGTTCAGTACAATAGAATTTGATATAGCTTTTAACTTGTTTAAATACAAAGCAAATGCTACCAAATGTAATACCAGACATTTCCAATGAGTCGTGTTTTAGTTTGTACGTTAGTATACAACATGATTGATGTTTGTATTTGCGATAAACATATTTTCACTATATGTCTTATAGGTGTTCAAACATAGTAGCCGAGACAACACAAGTCCCAAGTCTATATATATTAACTCTCGTTTCTTCACTTTTGAGGGTGAAGTCACCACATTTTATATGCATATTTCTTGGAGAAATCCTAACTTAGAATTCTATTGGTTTTGATTATAATTTATTTGTTAAATATAGAGAAACATTTGATTTTGACTGTTTTGTGCAACAATGCAACATTAACGTAATTAATTGAAAAATTCAAGTTAGATATGACAGATATAATATGTCGTCTCTAATCCTATTGATAATAAGAATGTTCAAGTCGCACTATTATTTTGCTGCATTTTGGTGCTTCTTTTTCCATTAAAGGTCGTTTGGTACCACCGTGGTGTCATAATATAGCATCTGACGTACCAAATTGAAGCACATGTTATAGGCCATCAGCTTCACCCCAAAATTTAGGTTTTCGGTATCAAGTTAGGGTAATAATCACCAGGTTAAGACCTCTAGAGTAAGGAAACATGTTGTAGCATTGTAACAGTTGTAGCTAAATGGGTGTTATCACCCATTTTTCAAAATGACCATCGGTGCACGAGTTAGAATATTAAAGTAGGTATATCTTAGCATACTGAGATACAAAAACTGTGATTTTAGGATCTATGCTTGGATTCTAGGGGTCAAGGATTTTATTTATGTCTAAATCGGAATCATCAAATAATTACTTTTCAAAGAAATCCAAGGTGGTCACCAAAATGGGTGCCAAAACGAATATGTAAATTCTGATTTAAGCTAAAAAACACTTAAGAACAGAGTTTGGAGCCCACGCTGCCAATGTCAATCTGCACGCCTACTAGGCACGCAGTTTGGAACTCCACTACCATCTGTGAAGAACTGTCTGTGTATATAGGATCACTCCATCTGATTAAAGTGAATGAGCGCAGCTTGTAATTTCTGGCTAGAATAGGCGCAGGCAGTTTGTTTTTTATATTTTATTACTCCAAAAGTAGTGATTTTTATGATAACGTCAAAATGTTGCATTTGTTGCACAAAATGGCAAATTTTGGTGGTAGACGAATCAGAATCAAATGTTTCCCTCTGTTTAACAAATAGATTATAATCAAAGCCAATAAAATTCGATATTAGGATTTCTCCTGGGAATATGTATGCAAAATGTGGTGACATAAATCTTAAAAGTGAAGAAATGAGAGTAAATAAACAGACTTGGGACTTGTGTTTTCTCGGCTACTATGCATTTGGTTTTTAAAATGCTTAAACTCGAACACCCTTTACTAAAAATATATATAGTATTACATAAATATAATACCTAATTCCAGGAATATGAATGCTGCGCATGTGTTGACGATGCCACCAAAAACCCATACTAAAATAGCGGCCCCATATGAACCAGAATGGAGCACGACCCCTGCAATGATAAACATGTATATGATAATCATACTAAAATAGCGGCCCCATAGGAACCAGAATGGCGCACGACCCCTGCAAAGATATACATGTATATGATAGATTTTATTTGTAAAATATGTTTAGATGCCTTTTATTTTTGGTATCAATACTACTTGGTATTTACTACTGTTAATACTAGATATAGTTCTATAATAGATATTCATGAAACAGCATTGATACGAAAACATGAGTAAAATCAGGCGATATACCAGATACTTATTGCGTATTTACACAAAGCGCCCTCTTTCACTATTTCAACAACTGGCACTGAACACATTACATAATTACCTGCTATAACAAAAATACAAACCTTTTGGGCTAATGAAGATACCTGATCCAATAACCGTTCCGATTATTATGCCACATGCATGCATCAACGATATCTTTCGCTTAAGACGGACACCTTTATGCGAATCGTCTGGCTCTAAATCAACAACTTCCTTCGGTCTATTTGACTTCATATCTTTTTGGGCTTGACGTACGAATTGTTTTTCTCCCGATTATCTATGCGAATGATCCTTTATGCTATGGAGTGTTTTGCCTAGTCTCTTGGTACCATCAACACTTACGTTTAATGTTAAATGTTATGTTAACAAAGTCAAATGTAGTCAAACAGATTAAAAATACTTGGGGTACAAATGTAAATGTTGACATATATTAACATTAACTAGACTGTAGGTTTGTGCCGTTTACATTATTATTTAAGCTAAACAATTTAACAATTGACAAATTTTATTATAACTGACAATAGAGTTAAGGTTGTATACAGGTTACCTATAAAGGGCTACCAATGTTAACTGAACAACTGAACCACATCTCTTATTTTTTGCATTGTTATGTTGTCAGTTGCTAAGTTAAGTCTACTGTTAAGTGTAAAGATTCCTGAAAATTGTTTTGAATATAAAAGTAATTAAATTAGCATCTTTTATCCTTGATGGCACATTAAAACAGCGTATTAAGCCTATCGATTTAACGTTTATACGTTTGTGCATTTCGACTTCTTGGCACGAGTGGGTTTTGTGCGCTTCCAATATCGTGTTACATTACATATATTAGGCCTTCTAGACTTCCACCAACGCGACCTACTATATGTTCCTTTCACTCGAACCACGGTTCTCACATCACAAACGGTTGGCGAGCACGGATCTCAGTGCGCAAGTAGAGAAATATGTTCGGGAGCGAGGAAATGATGATGCGCGACTAAAGATTTCACGTTCGCGATGTGAGAACCGTGGTTTGAGTGCAAGGAACATAGTTCGCGAGGTCAGAACTGATGTTCGCGTTGGTGGAATTCTATGAGGCCTGTATATCTTGATCCTCTCTGTAATGCTAGTTCAACTTTACAATAAATTAAACACCTTGTAGTAAACTGTAAACATTGCATCTCATGACATTACCACTGGAGACATCTAGTATCTTAATCGCAGTTATTGATTTTTACCCTTATATGTCCACCTTATGTCCTATGTCCAGCACTTTTTAATATCTGATCGGGGAAAATGCCCACATGGCAATTATGACGTTTTTGAAGCATACATATTTAAGCACGCTATTGATATACGTCTAAATAAACTATATATGATAAAAATGCATTTAATACATTGCTTTTATGACTGAATAATGTCTGTGTCATTTTTGTTTTATATTGCCAATTTGTTCTCCAAGGCTTTCGCACATTTCAGTACTGTTACGTCATCATAGTGGCGACCGATGATCATGACACCTATTGGCAAGCCGTCTGAAAACCCGGCGTTAATATTAAGGGCGGGGTGTCCTGTGGCGTCGAAGGGACCAGTGTTTCCAACCATACGCAGTGCCTCACCGAGTAACTCTGCAATAAAGAGATGGCGGAATGAAATGTGTAGTCTAGCTACAAGCCTCTGTGTGCAACAAGGTCTTGTACGGACAGGGTACTTATTAATTATTCATGAGAGATACATGAATGCAGCATTCTGATCCTCATAGCATCTCTCTCTCTCTGTTGCATCTCCAGAAGGATAGAGATGGAGAGGGCGTGGCTAACCACGATGGAATGCAGCGGCATGATTAAATAAGTAGACAAAGCCTAATGTGTGCGACCATAGACCAGACAAAATACTCACTTACAAATAAGTGTTGGTAAACTACATTAAGGGGGAGGCCCACAGTCTTGAATCAAGACTATGACATTTAGCAAAGAAAGCTAAAGAACACTTATTCTAATGAGCAGTTCATATAGTTAAAATAACGAAATAATGAAATGTTACCATGTGTCTACTTACCAGTTTGTTCTATGTCATCCATCCTGCTATGTCACATTGTGGAACGCAGCCAAACACGACACTGAAGTCAGTATTCTGAGGTCATAAAATCTAAATCTAAAAAATTTCCCATTTGCAGCCCCTTGGAGATTTCCGGAATTGAACAAAGTAGCGAACGTTGCGATCTTTCAACTTTAGTTCCTTGTTTTTCGCCACTTTATGTGAAGTATTTTCAATTAGGAGGCGGTCTTTTTGAATGCATCGTGTCAGGTCTTTATGAATCAATAGATCAATAAGCAGACTAAAAATACAATTTAGCAGTTTCTTTCGTTGCGCACTGGGCCTGTTAGTCACGAAATATAATTTAGCAGTTTCGTTCGTTGCGTAGTTGGGCCTTCTGTAATCAGTAGCAAATGCTCGCAAAACATTTTTCAAAATATTTACTACCGTTTTCCTTGAAGACATACCTGGGTGACACGTCATTAAGTCACATGATCGATACAGTAACTAGTCATGTGATCAGACACGTGTCACGTGATCAGACACGTGTCACAGATCAGTCACGTGAGCTTGCAAAATGGATGATCTAAATTTCCAAAAATTCTGCTGAGATCAATATCGATATGTTGTTGCCTTCATTGTCGTGTTTGGCTGCGTTCCACAATGTAACCTAGCAGGATGGATCACATAGAACAAACTGGTAAGAAAACACATGGTAACATTTCATTAATTCGTTATTTTAACCATGTTTGGCTGCGTTCCACAATGTAACCTAGCAGGATGGATCACATAGAACAAACTGGTAAGAAAACACATGGTTACATTTCATTAATTCGTTATTTTAACCATATGAACTGCTCACTAGAATAAGTGTTTTATCTTTAACTACAACTATAAACTCAGAACTCAGAAGCTAATCAATATGGACGTTAAGCAACATGCTCTCTATGATAACTTGTGCGTGTGTATAGAAGTATGTCCTCTTGGGAGTAGTTCTCCCCTTTCAATCCACTTGTCCGATTGAGTTTAGTTATGAGAAAAATATTTGAAATTAGGTGCCTGAAAAGAAGACAATTGAGGGGGGAGTAATCATGTGGGTTTGTGATGTAATACGTTCACATTCACGTTTCCTTAAAAACGTGTAGATTAAGCTCCCTCATTAATGTAAAGAATGTATACGATTAAATCAGGTTCAGCTATTCGAATCGGTGACGGGGAAGTAATGACAAAAACTAATTGTATTGGGCCTAATATGATTAGTATACAATTTAAGAATGTTTAAATCACCATCCATCAACTATAGGGCTTAGTATGTCAACGTGTGCGACTAAAAAACTTTTTTTCCAATGGTGTCCTAGGCAAAAATCGATTACATGTATCAATACCTGTGATGCTGGCATCCGCAGACGGAAGTTTAGGGGCTTTGCATGGCAGCGTTGGCATCACAATGACGTCATATGTTTCCAATGCTTTGTCATATGCAGCTGTCAGCGCAATATTCAAGTTTTGTGCCTTTCCGTAATGTTTTGACTGGTAGTTACGTTTAAGATGTTCTCCCCACAGACATACATTCTGGTAAGTCGGTGGTAAGTCGTACGGTCTCGCCTTTACATGTTTTTTAAAATGCTCCAACATCGAGTTTGGATAAAACCCTTTGTTTCCAATATTGGCACCTATGTTAATAAAAAAAGTGTTATCTGTTGATGCAAATTATATTGGAAAACTATTAATTTTCACATAATTAAGCATGGCGCCTCTGATTCCAGCCAATCAGAACTCAGTATTTCATATAACTACAGTGCATTATATAACCAATCACCGCATCTGCCAAAGTCATTCATTATGTGGTTATCAGGTGACGACTTGACTCTACAGATTGAAATTGATGCTTTCCAAACTTGACCCTTGCAAAAGGTTTAGTTGAAGACACGTTCTTTTAGTGATTTCGTATCTTTTGAAATAAATATTTTGCAATGTGAGAAAATAATATAACCCCGCGAATCAATGCATTCAGGCGTTGTTCAGGCGTTGATCCCAATAATCAATACCCGATACTGCGCATCTCGTGCAAATTTTGGAAAGCAACACATTCAAGGAATTGTCATTCCACATTGCACTGAGCCCAGGGCTTAAATTCTAAAACCTATAATAATGATACTTCTTAATGAGGAAAATTATCGATGGCAGTATCGCAATTCAGTTGATATATTCACTCAAATAGTCTTCAGTATGACTTCTACACTACGAGTATATTCTGAAATTTTAATCATAAAACTATGTTTTAAATGATTTTTGGATAACAAATTCTTTTAATTTTTATAGTTGCGCAACTTAAACTTTCGTTGAAAACACATATATGTCTAGATCAACAAAATACGTGTGCTTCTTATGTGTGCTTTAAAGTGAATATCATTCTTGCAAGATTAGTATTCTTACCAACAAATCCTTGAAGATAAGTTCCCTCTATAATTGGAGGAGTCCAGATAGCTACACCTGAAATATAATAAAAATAAACTTAAGAATATACACTATGAATTTATTTATACATTCTGGGCCATTTAAGCATTAAAGTGATGAGGGGGTCGGGAATACTCACCAAAGGGCTGAGACTTGATTTTGTAGAACATTTCTCACAAGAATGAGAAAATTATGTATTAGGTTGCTCCCAGGCTAGAGAATTTGACTGCCCATTTTCATTTGAATCCCCACACCTCACGACACGGGGGTCTCACGTAATTCTTTGAATAGCCTTTATATATTCACTATATGACCAGGGGAAGTTTATTTGACCGATGATACATTAACACATACGTTGGCCTAGATAATGTAGAAGTATCCAATGTAGGCTTACTTAGGAGATCCAATTTAATTAGTGAAAAGTGTCAAGTCTAGCAACAAATATTCCCATTTCAAATTATTGTCTCTGTAGTGAGATTCTTCTTCGAGATATATTATCAGAAAACAATGCTTAATGGAAATGTGAGGGGCAAGACAGAAAATGAGTTTCCTGATGACCTTACAGAGAGGTATTTCTCCCAGAGTTTCACAAATTTTACACATATAAATAATAGCCTTGCCATATTTATGCATGGGGATCGATGTATCTTCAACCGTCGCACCAGCTTTCTTCCACGCACCAGCTGTTGCCTTAACAACCTTAACGACATCAGACTCACAGATGGCAAATCCCTCCTCCACAAACCCGATTTTCATGCCTTTCACCCCACCATCGATCTACAAGGAAACGATTGGCCAGTCTGCTTATTTTATATTTTGCAAAACACATTTCAGTATAATCTTCCATAATCAATAAGGCTATATCAGTTTTTTTAAAACATACAGATCTGTAAAAGCATTTGCAGATCCCAGAAGATAAAATAAACTGCTACTTGGCACTATTTCTAAAGTGACGACATGAATAATGACTATTTGAATGGATACTGATTCAGTGTCAACATATTGGATTGAAATATAACTACATTGACGAAACCAGTTTCCTAATATGTTACCTCCATTACTTATCGCCCGGAATATGACAACAGAACGTTGTTTTGTGACATATTTAAATCATTTTACAGTATTGTACTTTATATTCTTACTAGCTTTGTATAATTAGGAACGTCAACTTTTCTTTGTCGCGCATCAAATCCATCGTATCCTGCTATCACCTCCAAGAGCAAGGCGCAGTCGTCCACTGTTTTCGCAATTGGTCCGATATGATCAACAGTAGTCTCCAACGAGAAAGAACCACTACAAGGTACAAGCCCGAACGTTGGTTTGTGACCAACAACTCCACAAAAGCTTGTGGGGATCCTGACGGAACCTCCCTGGTCCCCACCTAGGGCTAGATCAACTATACCGCCAGCAACCTCGAAGAAGGACATTTGTAAAGTAAAACAATGACCTTTTGACAATTAACACTAATCATTGAATAGGTCAAAATGTAGAATATCCATAGCTATTGGATAAAATTTATTCAATTTATTTGACCCGAGAATTTTCAATCAGAATCAGTATAAGTACGAAACATTTAGATAGAATACGCACTATTTGGTCAGTTTAAATAGGCCCCTTAATTCTCCTTGTGTAAAGGAAATTACTTATAATATATCAAAATCAGAATGTTTTTTTCCTAAAACAACTCTAGATATCTTACAAGAGCAGCAGATCCAGAACTCGACCCACCACTCGCTCTTGTGCTGTCGACTGGGTTTGTTACAGGTCCACTTATTGAAGTAAAGCTATTGCCGGAATAACACACATCTTCGCATACGGCCTTCCCGAGAATCCTACCACCTAGAGTAGACAATTAAGTAGCTTCCTTTATACTACTCAAAATTAAGAGATCGCAAGAACATATATTTCTTTATATTAATATAAATAAAAAACATATAGTTCTTATGTTAACCTTTATATGAGTTAATTGTATGAGCTTAATATACATTTATTAAGTGTTAGTAGGCTATGACATATCATAAAGGCTGTTCATTCTTGATGAGCGTTGACAATTTCTTATCGAATCAAAGACGGATAGAGAAACGTCATTAAAGTTCATTGAGACATTCTTGAATAGGTATATGTATAAAATCGTTATTCTATGTGACTCTATGGCAGACATTTAGTGAAACGTGTTAAGAACAGCTTTAATTAAAGAGATCATGGATATCGCCCATCTCCACTCATTCACTGCACAAGGATAAATGATGTATCCTACACTTAGTGTACTATATGTATAATAACGTCAAAAAATAAATTTGATATATATTGGCACAATAGATAACCGGAGGAAACCAATATGCAGAGGATATTAGTATCGCCACGATATACTCCGGAAAACCAATATTCGGACGATACTAGTATCGTGACGATATACTCCGGGAAACCAATATGAAGCGGATATCGTGACGATATACTCCGCTTGTGGATTTCCCGCATCGCAAAATTGAACTATTTGACATGAAATTGATTTTTCAATGATATTAAACATTTATTATACACTACTAGTAAGTGTAGGATAATGAGAAAATCCTCAAAAAATCATAAATGAATAAACACAAGGAGCACACGTGTCTCGAACTCGAAACCTTGTGGTTACGGCGCCCAAAGATATCCTCTTTGTAGTGAGTACACACTTGTACTTAGTTATACGCATTTGAACTAGTGCGTATTACCAGTTAAGTAAAGACATGTGCTTCGACTTAATACCTGCTTCTAAGACTCTCGTGACAACAGTAGCGTCGAATTCAGGCACATATCCTTCAAATGTTTTACTTCCATTCGTCATAGGTACACCGGCCACTGCAATATGATCTTTGATAGCTATAGTTTTACCCTTTAACTTCCCATCTTCAGACCCTTTTATATCTGTACACCAGGCCCTAAATAATTATACATACGTTTACTATGCATTCAGAGAAAATAATCATTTTGATCTGTACATCGGTCCCTAAATTGAACGTAGTAGGTTATCTGTGCGTTCACTTTAGACAAAATTATCAATTTAGAAAGTTAAAATATAGTATGCTTAATGGTAGTATGCATTTTTATCCCAAGTAATATTCGCTAATATATCATACAATTGATTTTCCTCATTCATTGGACTGTGATATACATACGTTTCTTTTTAAAGATCATGGTGTTATTCATTTTCATCACAGATTCGTGAAGAACGATGGTTTGGCAATTATAAAGTATTAACAATCCCTCTTTGTTGTATATTAGTTACCACGCATTGAATGGATTCTCATCTGGTCTTGGGTTATGTCCAGGTGTCCTTGGGAACTTCACTTCCAGTGTTGGCTCAACCAGTTCTTCTAACATCTGGTAGGCTCCTTGGACTCCTTTCATGTATTCTAGAACAAAGCATTAGACGTAATTTACACTTAACTTACAAACTCTCAGCTGTTTTGTTAGAGTTTGCATGGTTTTTTTGATGGGGTTGAAGTGTAGATCTGTGTTTGCAGCCAGGGAGGGGGGGGGGGGTACTGGTCAAATTGTTGTACAGGGGATGCCACTGAGACTCAAAATATCTTCCCACATCTAGGGATTTTTTTCTCAAAAAATGGACACACATTCGAGATTTTTTCTTTCAAAAATAGATCCACTTCAAGGTAATTTTTAGAAAACAAGACCCACTTCCGTCGATTTCTTTTCAAAAACAATACCCAGCGTTAGGATTTTTCAAAAAGTAAACCCAGTTCTGGGGATTTTTCATCAAAATTGGACCCATATCTAGGTGTTTTTTCTTCAAATTGGGACCCACATCTAGGGATTTTTCAGCGAAAAAGTGACCCACTTTAGCGGCACGTCCCCATATAGCCAATATATGGGAGTACCCCCCCCCTCTGGGGTTTGCGGTGAATTGTATACCGAATAATGATCTCATAACTGTTAACACATTGCAGAGTGTCAATGTATTAAACATGATATGAGACTGTAATACTTCAACGTTAACGAAATGTCTAAATAACACACAGGTAAAAAACATTTTATGACATATATAGATAATGTAACATTCTTTGTGAATAGCGTCGGTAAACATACCATTCAAGTTTGCATAGTGTATCATATACTAGTATGCCATAGAAACATCAACTGCATTCGGGTTCATTCGACTGATTCAAATATATATTTTGTTTGGTTCTTCATATCAACAGTAGTATTGATTTTAGTATACTTCTAATATGAACTTTCTAAACGGTTTGATTTAAAATAGACAATCATGGTACATTGTCAATCTTGATTTAGTGATCACAGACTATCATAGGGCCCGAAAATAAACCTGAACTAGCCAAAATCAAACACATGCACTGTACTATGTGCGCTCATTATTCCCTAAAAACAAAAAAATCAAGGCCAGGTTAAATGTTATAGAAGAGCTGCTTTATACACTGTTCAATGGTAAACACGAGCGCATATACAAAAAATCATCTCACCCTTGCGTTTCTCAATTTCATTATCAGTCAGTTTGGCAAGTCTAGCCAGAAATAAGGCAACAATTTACAGACATTTATTATTATATCATCACAGACGTTTTATGACTATTTTTAGAAATGAAGTCCAAATTTTCTTGAGGCGTATCATTTGCCTTGCGAAACATTAAATACTGGCTATGCCCCGGGTGTGGTTAAAGCCTATATCTGCTGATATCTCCCTCATTGCATGAGTAGTCGGTTGGTGAACTGCGGAAAGAGACGAATCATATTTGTCAGCTGCCATTGTTTTACATATTTATATAAACATTATTAAGGCCGGTGCAATATGGTTTACTAATATGCTACCTTTGTGCTGCTCGAGTTGGTCATCAGTGAGGTTAAATCCGAGATCTGCAGATATCTCCCTCAGATGTTGAGTAGTTGGTAGATGTACTGCAGGTGAGGTATATAAAGCTGGGGTATTTTGCTCTTCAGCCATTGCTTTGTTTTGATATAGAAACAACTGTCTGTTTGAGTAATATTACTCGACTGATGTAGAATGAGATACGCGTTTTAAAATGTAGAAAAACACAACCTCGTTTTCAATATTATGTTATCGTTTTCAATATTTTTAACAAGGAAGCTTAATGAAATGATAGAGGATGCCTTTTATGTTCGCCTCTTACATGTTGCAATGATAAATCAAAAATGATCTACACATTATACTCTAACTGTATTTAGGTGCTTGTATATGTATAAGACGGGAAGATTTTTTTGCCGCCTGGCCTGGTTTTTATGTTAACAAAAATGAATTTCTTTACCTTCTATACTATACAAGGTTATTGTGACATATACAAGGGGCGATCCATATATTCTGATAAAAATGCTCTCATTTTGTGATTTTTTTCACATATCCCTTTCATTTTTTCAGAACATGTAGATTATGTAATTACACATACAATGCTAAACTATTTTAGCTATATCTTGAATTAATTTTGAAATAAGGTTGCCATGGTAACCTGTATTTAGGGTAGGCAGGTCGGTTAAATTATAACGTCAAAAATAGATAAATATGTTAATTTAATCATTCCTCGGTACCTATTTTAAGCACACCAAACGCATCTTCCAGTATTGCCAACTATTCATTGATCTGTTCCATACCCCTGTTGCCCTTGTTTGATAATGTATATACAGTGGGATAGCTATCTTTTCATTAGTAACATCTCGATTTATCGTAGTGTTATTCTCTGTCCGCAAGCTCTTCTTGCAACCAGATTGTGGATGATCTTCAACAGTGACCATGCCTTCCTCTTTACAATACTACCTATAGATTCTTTATGCAGATATAACACCTTGCCCATGCACTTAATAACTTCTTGTATGTCTCTGACAGTGTCCTCTAACTTATTCTTAAAAGAAAAGAAAATCTAATTGTATTCCCTAATGTATCCGTTAATGTCACACTCTGCATCAGCCACATTAACCTCATCTGACAATTTGATTTTTAGTGTGTCTCATAACATGTAATGTCAATTGGCCCATTCTGTCCTACAATGCTATTGTGATTTGTTGTGATGTTATAGTGAGCACATATAAACATTTGTTTAGCAACAAATAAAGAGTAACAATACCAAACTCTTTTAGAAAAATGCATGATTTCCGCATGCTTTAAAATAATTAAAATATCAAGTTATTATGATATTTATATGTTATAATTTAATTGACCTGCCTACCCTTAACACAGGTTACCGTGGCAACCTCATCTCATTGATAGTTTAAGATATAGCTATAATATTTTAGCATTGTATGTGTAATTACATAATCTACATTTTCTGAAAAAATAAGAGGGAGATGTGAAAAAAATCACAACAACGTACAACGTACTTTGTTTACATACGCTGGTCTCTACGGATCAAATCGAGAAATTGTTTCTACGTAGGAGGAATTTTTCATCTAAACACAAAATGTGATATAAAAATAACCAATGAAGATTTGAAAGTGACTTAAAGTGTCTCACATATTCGATCAAAATTTGCCATGCAAACATGTTAGTCTACTTTACTGGGCCCCCTTGCTGTAACAAGGAACCCAAAACACATTAAAACGTAAATATAAGCCAATTAGTCACTTCACTATGAAAGTGGGGGTGTTAGCAAATGCTGTGTGCATGGGCTAACACAATATCAGTGGTCATACTGTGTCAACTTAGTAACCCTTGCATATCGTGCTCACTCAAGTATTGAATATTTTTTTATGATCTAAATGTTTGTGGTTAAAAAATGAGATATATTTTAGTTAGAAATACATTAATTGATATATTCATTCAAACAGCACTAGAATGCGGGAAGAAAGAGCAATGGTGACAAAATGCAGACAGAATTTTCCGTAAGGGTTTCAAACATTTCTGGACACAATCATACATGTGTACTGTTATTTTTAGTGCTGTATTTATAGATATAATTTCACGTATTAAAATCATATTTTCCAGCAATGACTTCAAATTCGGAACCACACCCATACCACATTTTCTTCAATAACTCCAAACATGTGTAAACATTGACCATGTGCATATAAATTCAGATTTCACGAGCTCTTTCCTATTCGAGTACCTCATACACCCCTGCATGGATTTGAGTTGGATTCGCCTTTTATACGTGAGCCGATACACATCGCAAACGCTGATTGGATAAAGATTGTGAGAATCCTTTCGGGTAATTTGTTTGTGCTAGGATATGACCTCTCTTAGGTGGGCCTGATTTGCTAACACCTCTGTGTATCACCTCCTCACGATCCTGGAAATATTCCAGATCTAAGACATTTAGTCTTTCCCACGTCAATCCGCACACTCTACTTGGTGTGGGCCTGACCTACCAAATTCTCAATGTGCATCAATTTCATAAACACGAATTTAGATCATAGACAAAGGTATGACACACCGGCACATATTTTTGCCACTGCGGATGCATCTGCGTCTTTCCCTATAAATCATTTCGTCAGTTTCTGATCAACTTGAATATCTCCCAAATCGTTTCTGATGACCATATACGTGCCCAAATTTCATTTGGATCTTACTTATCATACACACAAATACGGCAAGAGCCCTAACAATGCAATACAGTCTAACCCAGTTTCAACTAATGTAATTCTAGCATCTGTTATGAAATGTAGTCAATACTTAGGCACAATAAGCATACAGTACAGTATTACATACAAGTTCTGCCCAATACAAGTCTAATACAGTACAACTCTTTGAATGTCAACAACAACAATGATCCTTATCTAAGTTCCTTAATTACACGTTGTTATTTAAAAGATAACAACCCTAGACAGCCCCACCTCGCTGCCAGGCATGAGGGCCTCCTCATACTTCGCCCTCTCCGGTCGTGAAAAACCATACAATCATCATCCTCCTTTGGGACATCTCCCAGCACCTTCTAATGGCATTTCATTTCTGCATGTTAGGCAAAATGACCGCCAGGTATCATTTCTAAACCATTGGGTTATTAAAGGAATGCATCCCTCACACAAATGGTGGGGGCAATGCGACAATCCACGAATATTGCTCGTAGCAAATCCGCATGAATAGCAAGTTGGCCTTTCTGGTATCATGTTTTATTCTACGCAATTTCTCACTCGTTTTCTACATTCACTCTGGAAGCAGCTTCTTATATACTTGATTTTTTGGGTTACCATGACAATATACAAATGAACTATGCCGTACCTATTGTTTTGGGGACTGATCATTCCTTGTTATAATATTTGACTGTCAAGGACCGATCATTCCCCTCTGTTTAATATATCTTCACTACATATAGCGATAAGGAGGGTCTGCTTTTCCTCGTAATCGGTACTTC